AAGTGTTTCACAGGAGGCCTCTCTTACCAGGCAGGCCAACTTTCATCAAGCAGTTGTACGGAACATTCTAGAAAACTAGAATCTTGCTAATTATTTCAGATAGATGGAAATTGTGTTAACAATCCAGATTAACTAGCCAACTTTGGTTGACTCAAAGTGAGAAATTGGTGGATGTCTTCATTTAGCAGGACCATAAACTAGAAGAAGCCAGATAAAAAAAGAAAAACCTAGTATCTTTGCTTTGCAATGGGAAAGCTTAACAAACAGAAATCTGTTGGACTTCTGCGTGAATTAAGTGCCCAGATATTTAGCGAAGAATTGTAGACAACCTTGGTTCTCGTTTTGTTCTTCACAACAGCACAGATTTGCAGGTATGAACTGGAGGACAGCTTCAAAGCCTCTGACTCAGGACCTTTTGGGGTGTGGAGAGCACAAATGTTTCCAGTAAAGAGAGAGCAATATATTTCTCCAGTAAATAGAGAGAAACAGAAGGGTCCAAATGGTTTGCTTTTCCCCACTAATCTGTGTGCCTAGTCAATGTCTAACATGTGAATTCATGTCTGTCTTTTGGGTCTTACTTGTCCTTATCAGCAAGAACCACTGAATCAACAGATAAACTTGGCAAGAAGTAAAGGTGCTTATTAGGCTTATTAAGTACGCAAAGGTTGTAACACAGAAGAGAGCAATATTAGAGGCAGCTCACAAATCTAAGTTACTTCTTTTAATTTTTTATTTGTATTTATTATATGTTATTATTATATATAATTATATATATTATATATTTATAATTAGAATATGTATAATTAGAATTATGTACACACACACACAATTCTTCATTTTAATACCAAAATAGAAAGAAGATGTGGTATGTATACACAATGGACTATTACTCAGAAAGAAAAAAAGAGAAACTAAATTACTTCTTGTTAAAAGTTACTCTGGGCCCTTCCTGGTAGTGCAGCGGGTTAAAGCACTGCACTGAGAAGCTAAAGCCACTTCCGCATGAGTTCGATTCCCGCCTGCCCCGGAGGTGACCCCCTGGCGTGGCAGACTTCTCCTGACCCGCCCGCTGCTCCCCTTAGCAGTGTACTTCATAGATCTGCCTGTTCCACTCCCCAGTCTATCTCTGGTGAAGCCTCTCACCGCCCCTGAGCCTCTGGCCTGTATCCCAGTTCTGCATGTGCAAATAAATAAATCTTTAAAAAAAAAAAAGTTACTCTGGAGGAGAGTTTCAAAAATTGTGTGTATATTTACTTGTTTTCCTTATTTTAACTACATTTTTAAATGCCCTAAAAAAGTTGACTACTCAGAAGAGAAAGATAAATACTAGTAGTTTCACTTATATGTGGAATATAGAGAAAACAAACAAGGGATCAAGCAAAGACATACTTCAAAATCAGCCTCTGAAAGTTGACCATCGGTCTGAAGCAACCAGGAGGAATGCGGGAAGAAGAGAGAGGAGGAGGAGAGAAAAAAGGGGGAGGGGGTAAATTCAATGGACTATGGTGGATGCCAATGGTGATTTGGTGGTGGAAACTATGGTGACCATACCTGAAGGGAGAAATTCCTTGTATTGTGAAAAAAATGAAGAATTCAAAATAATAATACTTCATTTTCAAAAAGTTGGCTACTCAGAATTTTACTCCATCAAGTAAATCCAGAGTTCTAGTTTAAAGAGAATTTTGAAGCCCTAATTTATCAATTTGGTGAACTGCTGCTCTGTTCAAGACATCTGAAAGCAAAGGCAAATCCTTGCCCTAATCATGTGTTAAATACTATTTCTGGTGGTACTATCACTAAGATACATGAAAGTCAAGTCGACGGCACATCCAGCTTGTCAATTCAAAACACATCAGTCAAGCCTGCCTAACACCAATACCAATAAAAAGTTGTCATTCAATTTATTGATTTTCTAACAAGCAGCGTTGGTTGTATTAGGAAGAAGTCAGCCAAGTCAAATGTCAGCATTGTGCAAATCACTAAATCACTTGAAGGCAAGCTTTATCTCCCAGTGTGCACACCAGGCTACTGAGTAACCTAAGGAAATGAATACCTAAATAACGACCCAAGTCGCTTTAGACCATGGTTGGCACTCTCTTCCTAGGAAGAGCAAGATAGTAAATATTTTAAGCTTCGCAGGCCATATGGTCTCTGTGGACCAACTCAATTCTTCCGTTACAGCAAAATTGGCCCTAGACAATATGTAAATGAATGGATGTGGCTGTGTTCCAATAAAAGCTTATTTACAAAAACAGGTGGCAGGACTGATTTGGAGCTCAGGCCACAGTTTGCAGACCCCTGATTGAGACACTTGGAAAACTGTAAGAGTGTGTCATGCAAGAATTTCATACTTGCGCCTTTGTGACCATTCTATTCAGATAAGGACATAGCCCAAGGTACTGGGGTAACTCTGATTTCCCATGGAGATGTCACAAGAGGGAAGATGTCCTCTTGCTACCATCATTACTCACAAGACCTGCTAACGCTTTCCCAACATTTTCTACTTTCATTCTGACCAAAACCTTGCAAAGCAGACACTAGAACACCCATTTTCTGGATATTTTTAAGAATGTGAGGTTCAATAACTTAGTGATGGAGCCACCTTTCCAACCTGTTTCACTCCACCACCCCTGCTCTTTCTACTGTGCAGCTACTAGCTGCCTTAAACACAGCTTCTTATTGGGGTAAAAGTTAGGTTTGCACCATCACACAGGACCCCTGGAACAAGTGCACAACCCAGGGCAGTAGTCAGCAGGTGCAGTGACTTCTTTATCTAATTGGCCAGTCAAGCAAATCTTGAATTCGTGGTTGGGGCATGAAGATTTCCACTTCTGTGTGTCCAAAGCTCTGAGCTGATCTGAACCAAAGCCCAGCTTCACATTTAGTCCTCAAGCAGGGGTCATGGGCCAGGGAAGGAGGAGGCAACATGTACCAAGTGAATGTTTTTTTTAACCCTTTCCAGAACCTCAGAGTACAGTCATTTCAGCTCATGCCTCAAGGGTGTTTAGTGAAAAAAGAAAGTGCCTTTTCAGCACTCTTGGTGTCTGATTTCAAACCTGCCCTTCCATCGGGCGATTCTAAATGGGCTGACGATGCTACACTGTTTTTACTTAGTTTCCCACAGAGTTAGTCACCCTGGTGCCTTTGGTGGCACAAGGTTTGATCTGGGGTAAGGGGTTATGGCCCGGGCCTGAGCCCTTCCCTAATTTCCCTTCAGGTGCCAGAAGCCAATTCAAGAGAATTGGGATTATGTGTGCATCTGAACAGAGAGCTGTTTTACTGTTTCTGACTGACCTCCAGGATGTGAGCATGAAACATGCCTCTCACATCCCCTTTTTGAAAAATGGCTAGTCTCTTAGGAGGAATTAAAAAAGAAAAAAACTGTAGTGCCCAACCAAGAAGGAAGAATATAGCAGTTCATGCATGCAGGGCAGTAACCCTCCTCTCAGGCACTGAAGCAAAACAGAGCAGTCAGTATCGCTTTGGAGGCATCTCAGCTGCAAAGTTACCTCTATGGAATGGGGACATTTTCACTCCATTTTACAGAAGAGAAACCTAAGGATTAAAACGGGGGGGGGGGGGGGGGGGGACCATGACTTGCTCTGAGTAGACAGGAACCAAAGTCCCTCAGGAGCTCACAAGACCCTCTAGTCAGCTCTAAGCACATGGGCACAAGGATCTCCATAGCCCCCAGGAAAGAAGTCAATACCCACCTGCCAGTCTTGCTCCCTCAAGGCTGTCCTGTGGTTTAGGGTCTCACTTTATCCTTCCAGAAGCAATGCAATACTAGAATGTCTTTAATTATCTAGGAAGGTGTCTAACTCTCTAGTTCAAGTGAAAGTTCATTTGCTTTGACTAAAAGAAGAAATTGTATTTTTGCAACATCAAACAATGATGAGATTTCAGAATCTGAGAAATTGTGAAATCTCTAAGTGCTTTGCACATCTCCTCTGCTTTACATTAACAAGCTCAATTTGGAAAATTTACACAAGAAATAGAACACTGAAATGGCAATAGAGTAACTGTAAGCTGTATTGTAATCAATGAAGTTATATTTTCACAACTGTGAGGACTCCAATAAAATACCTTCTTGTAAGAGAAACAAACATTTTTTTGTTTGTTTAGTTTTTTCATATGTGTAGATTTTCTTGCACTAAGTTTGCTTAAAGTAACTGAACTCATTAAAAAGCACTTTAAAGAAGGCGGGGAAAATGAGGGGTAATACTTCTTTCTTGTGGAAATACAGAGCTGAGCCCCAATAAGGTTTGAATCGCATGAGGCCATCAAGTTGACTTCTTTATGCCAAGCAAGGAATGTTGTAGGATTATTAATAACATGAGTTGGCTCTGTTGACATCATGGAAAATAAAGTTCTCTAGTGCCTCATCCAACTTCAGGGATGAATACTAGGGGTAACAACACCTTTGTACCCACAAGCTAGCACCGAATGGGAAAAAGGTGACAAGAGGCCAAGCAATGAAGAGAGTGAAGACCTCCTTGGCAAAGCCACGTTTCTGCATTACCCCAACACAGGGACACGATCACATCTCTGGAAGAAAGTTAAGTAACCTGGGGAAAAACAGATCACGGAACAGGACCACAAGCTGAAGGCGGGCTCATAACAGTAAAGCCACTAGTATAAGAAGTCCATGGCTTTCCCCTTCTTGGCCCCAAACCAGTACAGTGCTTGGCTTTTGTTTTGTGAATCATACACTGCTCTTTCTCCACCCAGTGATTCATGCCCACCACGGAGACACGATGAGCTGTCCCACCTTGGAACACGAGTTCGTTCCCCTCCAGTCTGGAAAATCAGCATCACTTCTGACAGGTTGGTTTCTCCATCAGGCTCTTCCTCGCCCACCTCGTCCTTCCCCCACACCCCTGCTGGGAGCCCAGTCTCCTGTGAACCCCACAACCCCACTCCTTTCCCCCACACACAACACACTCACTGATGAGCTCCCAGGTTTACATGACACTGACAGCCACGGTCAAACCACTTACGTTTTTGCCAGAGCATGGCCTGTGACAGGATGTTGCCTTTTCTCTTTGAAGCAGACAGTTTGGCTTCTTTAATGTGAGACCTGGGTGCGCTTTCCTCCAGGGGAGCCACTGCTTGCACAAAGGTTGTTTCCTCAGCTTTTTAAAGCCCCAAGTTCCCGCTGCGCGGGGGCATAGCGTCATCACATCCTCCCACCTCAGGCACTGGTGCACTTTTTCTTCAGCAAAACTGCCTGTCACCCCACTGTGCGCACCCTCAGAGGCCCACCGGCTGCAGACCACTTCACTCACAGAGCCAACCAGCTGGATCCAAACAAGCCAGCACAGGAGACAGTGGCACTCACACGGTGTGTGGTGTGAAGTGTGGTGAGTATGTCCGTGTGTGTGAGTAGGAACTGTGCATATGTGTGTCAAGTCGTGTACCTGCTTGCTGCCAATGATGAGCCCAAAAGACCCCTGGAAAACTCTGGGTTTTCTAGGGTACCTGTTCAGGCTCCTCCATTACCAGGACATTAGCAGGACTCAGTCACCATGGGCCCCCCTCAAGGGGAAATGCAATTCCCATGGGTCACTGGTTCTCAACACAGAAGGAAACACCTGTGTCGTCTCTTCAAGCTTCACTAAACCACCTCCTCGTTTCTATAATATTGCTTTTCTGTTTATTCCATTTTGAAACACAACAGTCCCTCCCCTTGCCCCCCATTAACCACCAAAATGACAAAGCTAATCTCTGAAATATGGGGGACACTAGTTCTGATGGTTCAGATGCCCACAGAGAAAGAGGCCAACTTATTTAGAGGGGAAAGAACACTGTACTCTCCCACTGGAAATGATCGCTTAGAGGGGACATGCAGCGTGAGGTGAACAGTGTCTCTCTCCTAGCGCCCACCCACCTGCTAACATGAAATGTAATAGGGTTCCCACCTGATCGTGTATAGAGGTCAGGCCGCAGCTCCTTCCCAGTTTGAAAGCCTTCTACCACTGTGAATCTGATGTCCACACGTTCAAGCCCCAGTTACCCAATCTATTTGTGTTTAAGGTCCCCCTAGGGCAGGTCTGGGACCTTACAGCTCTGCCCTCAGAGTCATCTTACACAGCCTAGAGCAAATCGTATCTTTCTCCAGCTTAAAAGGCCTTTCCTGTTCTCTTCAGCCATATAAGGTAGAGGCATACAAGGCCCTCCCTTAGCTGGCCCTTGTTTACCTTTACAGCTTCATCAACTGCCACCCCAAACCCCAGCAGCTCCCCAGGGCTTTCTAAGCACCACTCTGCACACCTATGTAGCTTCCAGCCGTTGACCTTGCTCGCCTCCCTTGGTGGGTTCCTCTTTCCCAATTCCTCACCTGAAAATCACCTCTTCATTTCTCAAGATCCAGCTTATGTTGTACCTTTTTGGGTGAAAGGTGTCCTGACCTATGGAGCTTCTTTGCTAGGGAAATATCAGCTCCTCCTTTCTCAGCTTCTGAAACACTCCTACTGATTCCATGACAGTAAGTTGTTGCACGGTTGTAGGGCTCCACAAGAAGATTTTCTCTTTATCTTCCAAAATGTCAACCACTTGCTGACAAGGTTTTTTCTGTGACTCAGAATCAAAAGTCAGACGACCTGGCAGAGTTCAAAAGAAGACAAGGTGTCTGTATTTATGAAATATTTCAAGAAGTGAAGGAGAAGAATATCTCCAAATATAGGTGTGCTCACATGTTTGAAAAATTTGATATACTAAAATAAAGTGTCCTGAAATAACTCAATAAAGGCACTTTTTCGTATTGAAAAATACTCTTAACTTCACAAAAAGGATCCACCACAGACATCTCTTCTTTTATTCGACAAGCATATGCTATGTGCTTCTTATTTGCCATCATCCCTGGACCCTTTTCATCTGGGCTTTAGTAATCCTCTTCAAGCTTGGCACTTTATCATTGCTCCACGAGTAGTCGTCTCTTATTAATTTACTCATTCATACATTTTCTCATTAATTCATTCATCCATTCACTTTCCTCTCCATCTTCCATGTCTTCTCTTTTTCCTGCCCTTCCCATCTCTATTATACACCCACCCTTCCAGTCAAAGCGAAAGATATCATCTGGGTGAAGTCAATCCTCTACTTTTGGACAGTTGTACCTATTCTTGCTTATAGACTGCATACTGTTTTGCACCCATGGATTTTTAGTTCATCTAAGTAGTGTTGCAATAGAGAGTTCATGCTGTTCCTTATCTTTTAATTCAGTACTATGCTGTAAGATCCATCCAGATTGCTATTCTCTTCTAACAACTTCTCTTCTACCAAATGTAACAAGTGTATCCCATCCATGAAATGAAAACACTGCATGCAGTTAACACTGCATTTAGTTAATCCACAAACAAGAGATAATATGAAGATTATTATATGCAACATTCACCGGGGCATCTGAAAATTCCTTGGGGAATTAAGTGGCTCTAGCTAAGCATGGAATAGCTCTCCCTCTTTGATATTAGATTCCATGTCCTTTATTATTAGAAATTTTAAAATTTTTCCATGAAAATCTAAGGTATCCTTAGTGTTAATTTGTATTTGTTTTATAGCTCCCACTGAGACTGTGAATGGCATCTTTCTTTTTATTGTGTTTTCTAATTGGTTACTAATGTTTGAGAAAATTCTAGTAATATTTGAGCTAATCTTATTTCTAGCAATCTTCCTGACCACTCTTATTATGGTCTTTTTAGGTAGATAATCATTCCCTCTAAAAACAACAGCAGTTTTATCAATCCCTCTGATCCTTACACCTTTATTTCTCTTCTTTTCTTCCAGTTTTAGCTAGTATTATGATAACAATGGCTCTAGTGGTTGCTTTTGTCTGGTTATAGGTCTGAGAGATATGATAAAGACAAATCTCTAAAGTTAAGGAAAAATGATGAAAGATCTCCAAATGAAAGGTTCATCGACAGTCAAAAAAGAGAGGTAAGGAAAAGGCACAACCATAACACAATTTAAAAACAATACTAAGAGGAAATTAAAAAAACTTACTGAGAAAAAGAATATGTTAACTGAGGAGGAAAAAAATCATATTTGCAGTATACTTCTCAATAGCAAAACTAGATGCAGACAATAAAGAGAGATGTTTGCAGAGTTTAAAGAATGTTGAACCTTTAATTTTAAATCCAGAAAACTACCATTTAAATATTGTACCATAATGAAAACATAGCTTTTAGATGAAGCATTAAAATTCAAAAATACAACCCAAGAGGAATACAAGAAACATGAAAGCAAAAGATAGTCAACTATTAGGAAAGGATTTTTAAAGAAATTTTCTTTAAGCTGGAAAGAAAGAAAATACAGGGCCTTCCTGGTGGTGCAGAAGTTAAAGTCTCAGCACTATCAAGCTCTACTGCAGCACAGACAGATTGCCTGGAGCTGACCCACATGGCTCTGCAGACCTCTCGGTCTGGTCATCCACTGCTCACCTCAGGAGTCTACTTCAGTAGATCCACCTATTCTGCTCTCCACTTTGTCTCTGGTGAACTCTCTCACGCTACCCCCCTTACCCTGGCCTACACCCCAACTCTTGTATGCATAAATAAAATTTAAAAAAGAAAGAGGAGTCTCTGCGACAGTTCCTAAGACCCCAGCCCAACCTCCCAATCTTCCTCAGACCAGAACTGCATACAGCTACAACCATAAGATCTCTGTTGTTTTATGGAAATCAGGGGTGTAGTAACAATTTCCTCAGCTTGGTAATGTTTACATACCAAAAGCCTACACTGATGTACATAATGGAGATATTGTAGATAAATTCCTCTTAAGAATAAAGTGTACTTTCCTCACTAAGATGAAGAACACTGTATAACCGTGGGTGAGATCAGAATAAAATATAGCTTTTTGTTTAAAAAAAAAAAGAATAAAGTGTACTACTGAACTTATGTTAGTAGTTTCCTAACATTTTTACATACAACACTGTCTAGAAACATATTGAAAACAAAAAATAAAATAGAGTTTACATAATGTAATTGTGCCATGTTATCTTCTATGCTTCAGGGACACAATGAACAAAACAGAAATGGTTTGCATCATAAAGACAGAAAATCCTTATGACCTTTCAATGGCTTATTCATCTTCAATACAGATATAGACAGATTACATCATCAAAAATTGGTGGCAGCAGCAGGTTGGAGCACAGCACTAAGAAGCTAAAGCCACTTCCGCATGAGTTCGATCCCCGCCTACCCCAGAGGTGATCCACTTAGCCCACCAGATCTCCCCTGACCCTCCCGCTGCTCCCCTCAGCAGTGTACTTCAATGATCTGCTTGTTCTGTTCCCCACTCTGTCTCTGGTGAGTCCTCTCACCGCCCTGCACCTCTGGCCTGTATCCCAGTTCTGAACACACAAATAAATAAATCTTTAAAAAAAACAAAACAACAACAACAACAAAAAACTGATGGCCTACAGGTTGAGCAATCCCTAAGTTATAAAAATTGTTTATGACTGAGATTTAGTAAAATTTGCAAAGTCACATTTTTAAAGAAAGATTTACTGACCTTAGAGGTGAGGAGAGGCAGGGAGGTAAAGGCATGGGTAATTTAAAGAGCCATGAGTCCTGTGAGCACATAGTTATTTTCCCTGGGAGATACTCCATAGCACTCATGACAGTTCTAAGGTTCAGACACTGTTTATTTTCAAGAAATAAAAATAAGAAATTTTTAAATACATTTTTAAAACTGTCTAAGTTCAGTTAAAACAATAACAGGTCTCCAAGTGATATGTGTGATTCCTGGATTAAATATCAAATTCTACTACTGCCTATAATCAATCTTACAAGTTTCCTTTACATACTAAACCTGCTTCTTAGTTCTCCTCCAATGAGCATCATTTCATTCTTTCACAGAATTTGCCTCTAGGCACAGTGAAAGATTAACTTAGAGTCAGCAAGTCTGGCTGGCTTGGAATCTGGTTGCGCAGCTAGTTATTTGGCCGTGGGTAAGTTATGTAAACTCTCCTAGTAAGTAAGTGTCTACTTCTTCCAAATAAAAACCAAAACAATTAATAAAATAATAAATAAATAATTAAAAAAAACCAAAACAATAAAATAAAAAATAAATAAATAAAAATAATTAAAAACCAAAACAATAGTACTAA